TTGAATTGAAAAAAATGCTGCTGAAGTTACACGGAAATGATTTGTTCCGCTCTGAGTAAAGTGACGCTGTGACGTATGAGACAATGGTACAAAAAATGGTAGACCAGAAGTTTCGGAATGGAGATTTTGATCTTTCGAACTCTTTTGTTGGCCCCCGACGCACGACGATATTGTTTACCGGTCATTGAATAATCTGTCGTCGCAGCTTCCCTCGCGATCAATCACACCGGCCGCCGCTTCGGAAAGACGAATTCTTTCGGGGAAAAGACGAGACGGGGAGAATTAATCGAGTCGGGGCAGTTCCGACCCCGAGATGTCAGTATCGAAACGCAATGCGAGTGTAGCGTGAGTAATTTCTTCCGTTTCGAGGTGAACACGCTGTAACTTGCGCAACTCGCGTACGTGAGTATTTTTCGACGATTCGATGAGATAGCGGGTATCCGTCTGCGAGCGTACAGCGTGCGTCTATCCTGCAGTCGTAAGTCTAGGTTTTACGGAACCTAGGAAGATCTCGCGCAACGATACGAGGCAAAGAGCGCGCTTCGCGATTCGACTCGGCTCTCACATATTTATATTACACACGCGGCGACTATTATTACAGCAATATCGTCGACGATCGGCTGCCAGTAACGAACAGCATCGCGTTTAACAATGACTCGAGAGTCGAGAGTGACACATCACGCTCGATCGTCCATCATCGACGTTTACGTCTACGTCTTACCGCGCGCGGACGTCTCAGCGCGGACGACGGCGAACGATAAAGTTCCGAGGAAAGCGTCCCGAGGCGGGACAAAACACTCGACTCTGTTTTTCTCCCGCGACAGCCCAGCTGCGCGTTGTGCAACTGCGTGGTGTGCGGCAAGTGCGAGGAGTCGGTTCTCATTTTTATCAACGAGCTCGACGACGCTCGACGACACGTCTCTCTCCCCGCGTATCGCCGCGCAGCAGCTTTCGATCGTCAGCCGATCGATCGAGCCCCTTTTCAGATTCACCGCGTGTCCAGGGTGCTCTCTGCTCGGGCGGCTTACTAATAGCGAAATTAATAGCCAATTTGCATGGCGGCGAGGTTGCGTGAGCGAGTCGACGCGTTAAAAGCTTGCGGCCGCGCTCCGCGATGCATGTAGCGTGCTCGCGCGCGCGCGCGCGCGCGCGGCGGCATTAGCGTATGTACGATTTTGCAAACTGGTTCCTCGGTAGAGCGAACGGGTTTGCTACATCACGCATACGTTTCTCAACGTTTCCTCTTTTTCTTCTTTTTCCGTTTTTTCTTCCTTCTTTTTTTCTCACCGGCAGAGCGCGCCGCGCCGCGCCGCGCGCGCACGAGCGAACGAGCGAACGAGCGAGCGAGCGAGAGAGAGAGAGAGAGAGAGAGAGAGAGAGAGAAGAAACGACGCCCGCTCCGATATGGATAATGCGAAAACCGATCGCGTACGCTCTCCTCCAAGGCGCTCACTTTCCTTTTCTCTCGTTTCGCGCCGTTGGCACGTTCGAGATCGCGAACTCTCTCGCGCAGATAATAAAATCAATGAACGAACTGTGGAAATATCTCGCGCAGACGCGCGGGCCTCCTGAAGATTGAGAGCGCGGGACGTCGGAGGAAACGTCGCGAGTGACACCGTTTCCTTACCGTAGATGCCGCGTGCTTCTAAGGCGAAATATAGGAGAGCCGGAGAAAAAACTGGTAAAAAGATAAAAAAAAGAAAAAAAAACAGCGGAAAAAGTTTCAGTAGAGCCGCCTGTTCGAGATCATCTAGACCGATCGAGGCACGACACATTAACTATTAACTAATCTCGATGCAACCTTGAGAATTTATCTTCACTACCAAGACCAGCTGATCTTCAAGGTAGGATTAAAAAGAAAAAGAAAGGGGAAGAGGGGGCAGGAGGAGGAAACGAACGGTGTAATTTAGTAATGTAAATGAGCCAATGCCGGGGTGAAAAAATTCAGATGCAAAACCGAAACCAGCTTCGCTGTCGCCGAGCCATTAGTCATCGGTGACGTCTCCGCGAGGTGCATACATCTTTCCCGTCGCGTATCGCGATAGAATGCCAAGAGATCGCATCCGGGTATGCCGAACAACAATTCCGGGTTATTTTTGCGCCAGTTTCCTGCCGAGCTGGAGGAGTCGCGATCGTTGCGCAATAATGCCGAACCAATCACTCGCAAACACGACGGAGCTATGTCTCTCTCTCTCTCTCTCTCTCTCTCTCTCTACTTTTATATTACTCGGCAGTGTTTAGTGGAGGCATCCTTCCGCATGAATCCCGGTATCCCGTCAGACTAATTAAGACAACGCAATCCGCGACCCGCATGTGAAACCGCCATCTCCGCCTTTATCGTGTCTACAAGCGGCAGGAGCTGTAAAAATTTTCTTGTTACAGATAAAGGAATCTCGCGTGGATCGTTTTATGCCGCCGACCCTGCGCGCGTATACACACGTGCGAAAAGAACGACGCGCGCGGGAACGACGACGGGCAATGTAAACGCGACTCGCTCGTTCCGGCTGGGATGAGACTGTTTACCGATTGGGAGTCCCACGAAACGATAAACTATTTCAAGGGAAACGCGAATATACGTGCATCCACGCTGCATTTTCGCAACGGCCGTTAGCGCCCACCACGACGCGTGCACACACGCACGCACGCACGCACGCACGCACGCACACACACGCACACGCGCGCGCGCGGACACGTACGTAACGGCACAATTATTGTAATTGCGTCTCATGCATAGATAATGCCATTTACTTCGTATGCTTCTCCTCTCACGGATATATAGTCGATTATAATGAAGATCGTTTTGCAATGCTCGTAATCTTCCGATCTCTTCGCCCGTACTACGACGGCACCGTTTCAATGTGTGCGCGCGCGCGCATACACATACGCGCGCACGCACGTTCGCGGCTCTCAAGGTAACGCGCGCCTCGCTCACCGTTTTTGCAGTTTCATTCTCATTCTCATTCTCCGCTCGTCTCTTTTTCGGTTTTAACGTCCCGCGCCGCGACGATATATGCGTCTCTATCTATATGTAACCCTGGAAATTAATTCGTTTTCTCACTTTACCGCAACGCCAACTCAAGCAGGTCCCGGGGTTCTCTCGTGTGCCACAAATTCAACGCGCGTATTTTTCAACGAGAGCGCCTCGTTGAAAGGACAGAAAGGAAGCGCATCACCTTATAGCTTACCTTACGGCTAATAAGACGATTCTTTGAAAGTACGTTTTGGACGTTTACGACGAATTACGTTCGTCTGTTCTTCGCCATTTTACGGTCTCTTCGGTTCGCCTTTTTTCATTATAATGTAATGTCAGAATATAAAATCACCTGATTCAGACGTGTGGTTTTATCTCTCTTTTCAGCCGGTAATTGCGCGTAAGGTCGTCGCATATCCATGCCTTCGGTAAAAATAGTTTCGGCGGCAATCCGGGACTTGTGGAAATTTCATGTCCTAGTTTCTTCGGTTAAGGAAGGAAAAACGAGGGGCCCTTAACGGCGGGCGGGGCTGCCGCCGAGTCGCGTCGCGAGAAACGCATCGAGTGAAACGGCCGGAGATATCGGCGGACGCTCATCGAAAGTATCGAAAGGCGATATTCGGGAGTTTCTGCAGACGGCGCGATGCACACGGGGTGACGACCATGTTTTCATCCGCAAAGCAGAGTGCTTTATTTCGGATGACTCGGCCGGGGGAAAACACATTCGACATCGGTACTCCGCGCGCATTTCGGAAACTTGAATGGACGCCAAAATCCGCGCGCTAAAATAAGCACCGAAAGATAACATTTTTTTTTCTCTCGCGCGTGGACGGAAACGAATATCGCTATTTATAAGCGTCAAACGCATCTTTCCACGTCTTCGATCGCGGCGGTGTGTCCCGCGCGGCTCACCCCCCTCCCCCCCTCCCTGTCGCGCAAATATTTGTGTACGATGTACTTCAACGTAGTAGAAGTAGTCGCACACTTACACCGCTCGGTCTCCGCGCTCCGTCCTTCGGCAATGTGTGTAAATCTCGTTTCCATTCCTCGAGTACTTCTGTCCGTTCCGCGCGCAGAAGAAAGCGAGAGCGTTAAATATACTCGTACGCGCTCGGAATTGTATCCCGATGACCGTGTACGCGCGGTCTTTAATCGCGAGATTCTTCTCTTTTCCGCAACACACCTAAATCGACGCGCGTGTGTGGGCGGAAAAGCGCGCAGCGTCTCTCTCTCTCTCTCTCTCTCTCTCTCTCTCTCTCTCTCTCTCTCTCTCTTCTCTCCGTCGTATTCCGCTTTTGTATTCCTCGACGGAGAAACAGAGAGAGAGGTATCGCAAGAAGAAGAATCGCTGTGGGCTACATTTCGAACTTGAACGAACCGTTATCATAATTGCCGCCGCTGTCAAAGCTGTGACTGCGACGATTGCTTGAATATTGCGCAGCGCGCAAGATCCCGCGCGATCCCGGCGAATCGGTGAAAGTGACGCTGAAAAACGGTGTCCGGCGAAAGAAATCCACGTTCACCGCGTAAACGTTAATACCTGTAATAGCGGCGAACTTCTCCCCCTCCTGCTCCTCCCTCGCCGCACGATTAACACCGCTCGAGTGTGGCTCGGCTTCGGTGCTTCGGCTACCGGCCAGTTATCTCTCATTATAACTGCCACGATTTTTTTCAAAACCGGTCTACCGCAACTCGGCTGTAAGCATGCATAGGATTCCCGCGGTCGCTCCTCCTGCTCTCTCTCTCTCTCTCTCTCTCTCTCTCTCTCTCTCTCTCTCTCTCTCTCTCTCTCTCTCTCTCTACCTTGGAAACGCATTTCCATGTCGCCGAGCGACATGGAGGCAAGGGTGGTGGTGGCGCAGCCGCGTAAACGTTGCTGCTAAGCGTCGATCGCTATTAAGTGTAAAGCAATCTTCTTGGAATATCAAACGACAAAGCCGTATGTCTCAATGTGTCGTTAACAGCTAGCAGCAGCGCCGCGAGAAGTGAGCTTCTCGACCGAGCTCGACCATTATTAACTCGGCGACTATCTCGTCCGCTTCAACGCTCCGAGCGACGCGCGATCGACGCGCATTGTTATAGCAGTTTCGATTCGATAACGAGAGATAAGACAAACGCGTATTTCGCGGCGTTTCCGCGGCTTGTATCGCATCGCGCGCGCGCGCGCGAGTGAAAACGACGAGGACCGAAACGGGCGAAACACGACGGAGAACGAGACGCCGCCGACGGTTCGCGTTGAGAACACTGCCTCGATCAGCGAGAAGTCACGAACGCAAAAGGAAGGCGAGGTGAGGTAAAAGAGTTTTGTTTGGGGAGAAAAGGAAAAAGAGGTGAGCTACAACTCCGCGCGGCGCGGGAGCCGCGCAGCCCGAGCACGTTCGGTTCTTTGTTGAGGATTCGGCCGTAAGTAAGTCTGCGCGCGCGCGCGCGGTAATTGAAGGGCCGACCGGCCGGGGACGGAGGGACGACGTGCGTATTAACACAATATAATATTTGCATTATAATTAATAATATTTGTATTTCCCCCCCGCGCGCGCGCATATTCCAGCACTCTCAACGCTGAAGAAAAGAAATTAAGTATCTCTCTCTCTCTCTCTCTCTCTCTCTCTCCAGCAGCCGTGTCGGAAATAGACAAGACTCGAGTAATCTCGAATAAACATCCGCGGCCGAAGAAATTTCACGAGACAACAAAATATCACTTTTCTTTCTGTGCGAAACTGTGGGAGGAGAGACACACACACGTGCGCGCGACCGGCCGAGAGACAATAACAATACGAAGGCACACTCGAGAGAACGGCTTTCCGCGCGTGAGCGAGTGAGCCGCTCTCATAATGAGAGCAGGAAACGCGGAGCGCCTTTCCAGTGTCTGGTTCGTATCACGCCTTTCCTCGGATCGGGGAGAAACCGAGGAGGAAAAGCAGCTAGCCGGGGAAAGACGAAGCGTGATCGGAGGAAACTCGAGTAGTATTCGATCGTTATTTTTGGCGCGCAGGAGCGCCCAAGTGGCCGCCGTCTGACAGGTCGAGCTGGTTTCTGACCTGCTAAAACAAACCCTGGACCTATCTCGGACCGGTTCTTATCCGAGTCCCACATCCCGAGGCCTAGCCGCGCTAGTCTAAAACGAGTGGATACCCCACTGTGTTGTCTTAGTCCCCGGCTAAGCTGCTCCTAGAATGGATGCGAGAGGGGCTTACGTGTTCAAGGATCTCCTCCTCTTCCTCCTCCTCCTCCTCCTCCTCCTCCTCCTACTCCTCCTCCTCTCCACCTTCTCCACTCGAGTACACACGGACGGATACGCGCATTTAACTGCAGCGATTTCCAAAATATCGCTTACGCGAGGTGGAACCGAAACTGAAATGCTGCTCCCCTCCTCCCTCTCTCTCTCGATCACAACTTTCCAAACGCGTGCATGCATTTGAGGATGATTTGACACACGATGCGTCTTTCATCTGCTCCGAGCAAGTTTCTTAATTAATCAGCAAATTCACTGGTAAACATTTCTTCTAGAAAGATAGATTTATATTCGCCAGCGGCTAGAATTTAGAACGTGTCCAACTATGTCGCAGCGACCACTAGTCCGCACCTTCCAAATTTTACAGACATTAGCAACTAAAAGTCGAGCGTCTAGAAGAAGCTTTCACACTGCTCGAGAGAGAGAGAGAGAGAGAGAGAGAGAGAGAGAGAGAGAGAGAGAGAGAGAGAGAGAGAGAGCAAGAAGCTTGCTCGAAGCGAATAAAAGCAGCACATAACCGTATAAATTACCTTTTAACTTGGAGATGCGCGATTGGAGTTCGCGCGATGGTAAATGTGACTCCGCAATAATTAACGTAAAAGATAAACGCGACTGTTCCCGAAATGGCTCGCTGCTGATCGGTGGATCATGGATCATGGATCACGGATCGCCGACGATTACACGTCGCGCGCGACATTTGCTCCTTTCGCTCCGAACGCGCCCTCACGCGTCTCTCTCTCTCTCTCTCTCCTCCTTGCTCGTCGCTGTTTTTACGACGTCCGTAAAGAGGGGCTCGTTAGAGCCTTTGCCGTTGTTGTTCAGCACGATCGTAAATATCGCTCGGCGATATTGTTCAGCGGGACATTGCGCGCGCTTGTCCACGCTGCGCGACGACGATAACCACGCTCGTTTCGGATTATCGACAGCGTCCCCCTCTCGAAATTTTCGACGCGGCACACGTAGCAGGCCCACTCTCAAGCTTTCATCGTGATGCACATATCAACGTGCGCTGCGCGCGCGCGCGCTCCGCCATGTCTCTCGTGCCTCGCTCTCGTGTGTTTTGACATTCCATAAACGGGCCGATGAACACGAGTAAACTTAATATCGCGCCAGGCTCGCGGCGGCGACGCGTCTCGCGTACGAAGCCGCGGTTTGATATTTTTCATCGAGCAATTGACCATGCGCGCGCGGCCGCTCGTGTGCATCGTGACCGGCTACATGAATCTATATATTAGGAGTATAATGTAGTTCGGAGGGCTTTGAGGGCAAGAGAATTGGCACAAGAATGTCAGTTTTGTCGAGGATATTCCAATCACAGCGATTGCTTCTCAACACTTAAATACGAATTCATAATCAATTTAGTCATTTGCTAACAATAGACGCTATAGTAAAAATGTATCGTATTGTGATATACCATCTTAAAAATGGAGCTCTTCGACGTTGCGTTGCTCCTATTTTTTCAATCAGGAGAAAACGCTGACTCAGGAGAAACGCGCAAACGCGCGGTTTAGCAGAAAAGTGAATATATCTGTTGCACAACGCGCGCAGTCACGACGGCAGTTCTCGGGACGGCGACGATCATATTTCTCGATTAAAATAATGCAGGGAAACACGGAGGAAAGATCGTCTCACATTTGTGTCGAACGAATCTCTCAATGGGAAATCTCCCGTTCTTTTTCTTAATATATACGTATATTAACGCCGATGACGAATCACTTTTTCTCGCGAGAGCGAGAGATCGCAGTGACTGACTAGGAAAATGACTATAATTTCGGAGAAATTAACAATCCCCGTTCTCTCAACGTTTAAGTAGGAGGAGGCTATTGAAAATCAAATTAACCGACTCTTGTCCGTTCTCTTTGATTACTTTTGTCCTCCTTTCGAGAACACGGTTCTTCGCGCGCGCGCGCGTAACAATTACTGAACCGAGGTGCGCACGAGGTGCGCAAGGCATGATTGTTCAAGGCGAGAGAGACTAATTTGCACGTTATTTGGTTCGCACCAAGTTTTCTATTACTACGCCTGAGCGGAGCGAGCGGACGCTGTATTATTAATATTACATGAAAATCAAGTTATTCGCAACCGGCTGCGCATCAACACATCTTACAACTTCGTTATGTGCGACGCGAGGCGTAACGCGCGTTACAGGTAAACACCGCGCGCGCTCTCGTGTCCAATTGTAATAAAGCGCGATGGATGTGCCGCGTAACGCGGATGTTTTATGTATTTCCCGAACAGAAGATTACATAAATTTTTACTGTGCGTATCGACGAAATTAAATGCCGCATTAATACAACATGAAGCCATCGTGAGCCGAGTCGTGAGCAAAGTCGAAAGACACGCTCTGTTCGATATCCGCGTCACGTATTATCACGCATACGTGAGAAATATTACTCGGCCGAATAATCGAATCCTCGGCGCCATCGCGAGATCTCGATCCTGACACGTCACGGTTCACCGACTATTACGCTCCTAGAATACCCGGAGGCCTCCGCCTCCTGTCACATTCATCCGTTAATAATGGCTTCCAGCCGAGTTGACTCTCGAGAGGCGAAAACGACACCCTTCGTTTCTCCTATATTATTTATCGCTATATAATAATACAGCGATGACAAAATAATAATTAAAGAACAATTGCCGCGCGATGCGCGATGCGCGACGCAAGACGAGCGCAACTACAAGCCTTTAACTGTAGACGCAGTAATGACACAACATGTCGCTCGGGAGTGGTAAGTCGAAACAGACGCTCGAGTTGAGCCAAATAAAATTAGAGAAGACGCGAGGCAGCGTGGTGGCTTTTTCATTTTTAACGACCCCATGCCGAGCGGCAAGTGCAGAGCGCGCAGTGTGTAGCCCGAAAAACGAGAAAAAGAAAAAAAAAAACAAAGGAAACAGAGATAGGGAGAACGGAGAGGAGAGCGAGAGGGAGAGTAGGAGAGGGCCTTCTTCTCCCTGGCGGGGAGCAATTTCTTTCTTCGGGGCGTGCCTCCAGCGTGCGAGGAGCCGCTCACTTATCGCGTGGTTCTCGCGGGTTAAAGGTACACTCTAAAGTCGGAGGAATACGAGAAGCGCGGGGAAATGAGACGAGATGAGAATACGGCGGAGAGAGCGCGGTCGTCTCGCCGGGAGGTTCGGGAGTGAAACCCGGGAGTGGAGAGAAGACATGGAGCAAAATCGCTCTCGAACACAGATTGTTTCGCGCGTGCGCGTGCGACAGCAAAACGCTAAAATTCACACCGAAATCGAGGCGAAGAAGGTGTCCAACTAAATCCCCCCGTAAATCAACGGCTGCGTCCGTATCGCATTTCGTTGACGATTTCAGTTGACTTGAAGGAAAAGAAAAAAGAAAAAAGAAAGAAAAGGGAAACACGAAACACACCCTCGATCGAGTGAGCGCGAGCCATTGGCGTCTCGCGATTACAGCACGTAATACGAACATGTTCTGCTGAACCGGTACACGGCTATCACTTTGCGACGTAAACGCGCAAGTCGCGCAAAGTCGCGCGCGTGAGAGGCTCGGCAGGAGAGGAAACGGCAGACGCGAAACATTTACCCTGCGTGAGACCGCACGAGGTGAGGAGGGGTGAACGAGAGATGTTGCTTCGAGTACGGGGGACATGTGGAAATTCGTATACGCGTGCTAAAAAACGCGCCTTCAGCCGGCTCGGCGCTCTTCTCGCGAAGCACGCACGCTCGCGCGCGCGCGCGATTTCCGCGACGATGCCGGGGCCTTGAGCCGCGTGGGGAGGGGAACGTATAATTTCGAATCTCGGTTGGAAGCGGCGATCGAGCAGGAAAATAAATGTAATAAGCCGCGAAAGGACTTTCCGGAGTTTGCGCTCGCTCTGCTCTGCTAACCTACGAACGAAACGTCACCAAAGAAATTCTATTCTACTCTATTCTATTTGAGACATTCAACTCCAGAGGGAATCGCGACGATCGTTGTAATCAATAAGCGTGTAAGCGATAAACGTACAACGTGGATGTTTGCGCGATCGCGCAGTTCTCGGATGTACTTCGCGATCACGGCTATTCAGCCGTGCATCTTGATGAAGC